ATACATCTCGTTACACTGATTTACTGGTAGTCTCGAATCATACTCTCGTATGACTATAAATATTATTTTTACTGAACTAAGATGCTGTCTAAAAATTGCATTATACAATAAGGCGTCTAAATAAGATCCTGATTTAATTCAATAGAAAATACACCCTTAATTTGAACCGAAATTTCTTAAAGCAACAAATGAGTCTTCATGCTTATCTAAAGCCCAAGGACACAATAATTGAAAAACACTCTAATTTTTTTATTGCTCTACCCATAAGACTTACCTAATTGAGGACGCTCCTCTTAGAAGGCTCAGCAAGCCCACTTATTGCTAACTTTCCTTGATAAAGAAGTTGTTTAAACTTGTTTTCGCAACTCAGTCATAATTGTAGGAAGACTTAGAGGAACGCACCTTGTCCGGAGTCCATTGTATGCATCATCATTTCCAGAGTAGGACCTGTGGTACATTTCCAGACGTTTTGCCGGCATCGTAGTCGCCATCGTCAGTGAGTCTCGCCATTCGTAGCACCATATTACAACGTCTGGGAATGTACCACGTCCACGGTTATACTCTGGAAATGATGATGCGTACAAGGTGCGTTCCTCTATGTCTTGGTACTAATATGACCGAGTTGCGAAAACAAGGTCAAACAACTTCTATGCAACGAAAGGAGACTGCGACCACACAAAAGGCCACACCATCTTGGTCTTCATACCTTTCATTTATAATTTTATTAAACATCTATTCTTAAAATGCAATTTGCTTTTACCTTCTTAAAAGTTTTATAAGACGTTGTATATGTTTTAAAAGAAAGATTTAAGAAAGACCATAGTCTTTTTGGCTGATTTTGTTGAGAAATATCATATTAACTCCTATTAAACCAGCGATTACCTACTAAATGTAGATTCCTAATATTTGTCCACATTTTTATTATTTCTGAACTAAATTTACATACAAGTGCTTGCTTAGATTTTTCATATGGGTTGCTTCGTTTCTGCTCTCTAGTCTAATTTAGAAAAGTTCTTCTGATTACACACAAATTATCATCATATATCATTCTAGTATCATTATTTTCGTATATTGACTATCAATTTATCTTTCGCCATAGGC